ATATTATACCAACGGAGGTTTTTTGAAGGACAGTTCGGTAGTGCGGGTCTTCGCTTGTGTGAAGGCTGATAAAAAAGAAAAAGATTTTACGAAGTGTCGGAAATTCGCCTAGGTCACTTCTGCATTGTTGGTGGCTGTCTAAGCTGAAACGATCAATTCGCAATAATAAGATTTCGAAATAGTCAGTCATCAATAAGTTGACTGTTGACAACTTGAGGCGCTACGTTCGACGTATCAGTTTTGGCAATTTAGGCACCATGCTGAACCTAATTATGGCCTAGAAGCAGACTGTTCCGGTATATCAATCAGCTTATTGGCCGAAAATAGCCATATCTAAATACGTACTTCGTAACTTTGCCGTTTACTGGTCGCATATCTATTATATGGTTACGAAGTAATTATCGGTAGTCGGACAACACGAAGCGCACGCTGCATAAATTTCATCAAATAGCAACAAATTTGCCACATAAAGCTTCCAGCGCTCGATAGATAGATTACATTAACTTAATATAGCAATGTTAGGTAACAGGGTATCTTCCAGAAGCACATGGACAAATCTTCGCTGTGCATGATATGCAAGCAACAATATATTCTATATTAATAGACATTTTGAATTGCTGAAGATCGTATTGTTGAAAATGAAATTATTGCTCGGTCGTTTTTATTCTACAATGGAATTCTTTTTCATAGGGGCATATGTGATCTATTCACAGCTGGGGATGGTTTTTGGCGAGCACGCCGTAGATGTGGATAACATTCTGGCTGGAAAGATCCATTGACTTCGAATGGCTGGCTATTGGTTGCGACCGTTCGTTGGGACTCGCCGTGATGTTAAAGGGTTTCCTTTAATAATCTAGACACGAAACACCATATAGCATCATTTAAATGAAAAATTGAATGCTGGGAAAGAGCATCGGTGAAGATCCGCATTCTAATAGGCCAATTGTACGACCGTGCTAAATAAATTATGGTAAACAATACCGAATTGAAAATCATGAATTATTTTCTTATGGACTATTCTTTTGCGTAGAAGGTGGACCATCTAAATCTGAGAACCAGATCAGGGGGAAAGATCTCGAGAAGTGTCTGTGTTCCATTTATTCTGATCACATATTTTTTTTATCAATTTACTGATATATTGATAAATAGAAAAGTAACACTGAATACCTCAATATCGATTTGCCCCATTGATCTATCAGCAAAAGCTTAAACCATGCGAACTTGTCCCGTGCGAGCTTTGCCTCTTGTCATTGTATTATATGCCTGAATACGTGTATTCTATTCTATTGTTCAACATATGGATCCGATTCAAATTGGTGCCCCCTTTTGATAGAATTGGGGACGATTCGTAGACATCAATGCTTCGAAAGCGTCCTAGGCAACTGATGCAGTCGTCTCCTGACTTAAATACTGGCAAGGTTTCTGCCCCGCCATAGCATCATTGAGCTATGGAAGCAGTCCCGCTTAATAAGCAATCTACCCGTATCTGTGCTCTAATGTAAACGCTCAAATTGGCGACTTTATCCAATATTAGCAATAGCATCTAAATAGTAATTGTAGTTACTTTAGGGTTCGCTCGCGCTTCCCTTGCACGCATGTATTTTTGTCTTTGTATACTTACGATGATTTGGTTTTGTACTCCTGCTTGCACGCGGCTCCTGTACACGTACGGCTTTCAGGAGATGTATATGTCTATAAATTTCGATCCTAAGTTCAACATTTACTATGTATTGTATTATACAAGTATACCTGGTAACACCTAAACATGCGTCCAAAAATGCCAGCGCATTCATTATTTGCTGTTATCATGGCGAAGGTCGACTTTTAAGTATCTGCACTATTCTTTTATCCCCATCGCGCACGGGCGCCCGCCAGTCGTCGCTCGCTGCCTGCGGTCTCGCACGCTGTTAAAGAACCACTCGTTTTGTTCTTTTACCTTGGACGACGGTCAAGTTCCCATAGCAAAGAAGAAGAAGAAGAAGAAGAAGAAGAAGAAGAAGAGGAAGAAGAAGAATTCACTGTCGATGACATGCCCATTACGCTGAGTGGCGTGTCGCCATTTGGTTACATTGTGTATTACCAAGGTGTTACTTGAGCTTCGCACAAGGGGCAGGCTTAAAAGGCGAAAAACATAAACACTATCTAAAAGAAACTTAGCCGCTTTCACTATTTGTTATTATATGTACTGACTACTTTATTATTAGCGTAGGTGTCCGGAAGACGCTTATTTACAATTGTGTAAACTGGAATGGGTTTTGTTGTGAAAATCTTGGAGATGCCCAACGAATCGTTCTCTTAAAGGCAAAGTTCACGTAATAACAGCCTTTTATGTGTCCCCGCGACCGCAACAATATTAAGGCGATTGTTAGTGCGACAGAGCATTAACCGAAGGCCCTAAATATGCTTATTTTATTTTGAAGAATCACTTAGACGCATGTAGCTCTTTAAGATAATGTGATTTCTTATTTGTTCAGGATAGCTCTCACGCGATGCAATGCTCACAAACTCGTCTAGTAGCTTAGTGAAACCTAACTATACACCGTCAGGCCGAACGACTGCGTCCTTGCCGGCGACTAGACCTTGTAAGTACCAGAGCTATATTTCCCACACTTTGATTAACTCAATATGTTTGCAAAGATAGGTTTCATTACCTAATTCGCTTCATCAAAACGTTGATCACAAGATCGTAATAAGGCTTCGTTTCCTGCTGGGCAACATTTATCAACACCGTTGATTCCTAATTCAGAACGTATATTTCTGATACAAGCTTTAACAGCTCTTGCGTAGTTGCCTTTCATTTAGAAACCGGCGTTTTTGGCAAAACTTCTCCTCAACATACCTAACATACGAAATAAACTGTTGCCTTTTCCGGGTAAGTTGTGCAGTTGAGATACCTTCGATTTCGCTTAATAAGCTTTCTTTCCTTCTTTAAGGTCAAGAGTACTAGGCGTACAAAAGAAGATGTGAGTCCAGATTGTTGGCGGAAGATAAAAAACAGACGAAAACTTTATCAAATACTTGAAATAGGTTTTGCCATCGTACTATAGTTGCCTGCACAACATGAATGTGTCATTGGAGAAACGGATAAGATGTTCGATTTCGCAACTGATATTCTCGGTGTCCGTCTTATGCTGCTTGCGATTTGTCTGGGTTCGATCTTTTCTAAACCCGATTTTTTCTGGTCAGGAGCGCTGACAAAACTTTCATTTCGTTCAACCTCTAACAGGTATTCTTCAGTCGTTCTAGCGGTACAATGAACGGTGCGTGTTGCACCATCTAATTAGCCGATGCCGAATTACCGTCGTTTGTATAGATGTTCAAGGACAAACTGAGGTACCAATAGTCGTATGCTAGATAGTCTTTTTTGACGTTATGAAGAGGTTGGTTCGGTGCAAACCCGAAATAAAAACTCCGACACCTCGACAGAGCATCTTCTGGAAGAGACTGTGAGGGGCTAGCAGAGGGGCCGAGAATCCGGTTCCACCTTCGTCTCAGGTGTACGTTAAGGATCTCAGCTTGTTGGCATGTAAACGGGAAAACGTTGCTGAACGACAAAGCGAGCTCGGGGTCGAACAAACTCAAGGAAACCCTCTTCGATACGAATGTGTACCTTATGTAAAATCTGTGCATAACAAAAGCGTTCGTAGTTGGAGAGTGTAGAACTATAATAGCAACGGTTTGAGTCCCACGTAACATATTGGCCTGGAACTTTTGTCAAAATAGTTCATATTTGCATTGTACTAGTAAGAAAAGTTTAACAGGAAGGGCCAATGCGCCTTAACTACTATGTTAGTTTGTCTCACAGGTTTTAGATTAGATTAATAATACAGAATTAACGACAATTTCATGCTACATCAGAACATTTTTCGCAGTTTATCAATTTACCATTTATGATGTTGTAATGCTACTAAGCCATAATCGACCGATTTGTTTGGTATTAATTTGTACTTCGTAAATAATTACTACTTTAATTCTGTTGTAGACTGTGTTGGATTTTTGTCAGGGCAGGAAATACTTCATCGGCCAAGTTACGAAAACTCTACAAGCGTAATCTATCTTCAAAACCTACTTTAGCATAAGTGTTGCAGGAGCTGAAAATTCGAAATAATTCCTAGTGTCTATCAAAGATTCGAAGCGCCTCACGTTTGCGAGACTGAGGACACCCAAAATATTCCGCCTTAGACACTATATACGATGAATGCCTGCTTCTGAATGAATATTCAAATATAGAATAACTCTAAAAAGCAATTTTTTATTTAAGAAATACATAACTAGATGTAATGGATAGCTTTCATGAAATTTATTTGTACACCATTTACACAGCAAGAGTTCTTATAGCGGGAATACGCTATAACAGCCATTACCGTAATGAGTCATTAATTAATAAGCGCTATGATTATATCTCACCCCATTAACAGGCACTTAGACCGTCGTTTCGTTCCACTTTTGTATATCGTCAACGGTACGATGCTCTATGCAATTTAACATGTAAAACCTAATAAAGAAGTGATATTGCACGTATGTACTTCATAATGATATGGACGATAATAGTTCACTTCAGGGAAATTAAAAATATGAGATAAGTCATATTGAAGAGCCGGAACTGACTACATAGTACGACTTTGACTTAACTGATTTGTGCCAACTTCCTACTCATTGACAGCAATTGCCTTTTCGAAAGAACTTAAGAAGACGACGGAACTAAGGCTCCGGTAATCCATGGGTTTGTAAAAAAAATCCATAGTATTTTTCGTTACTTGATCATACTGAGTTACGTCACCTAACCTGAAAATCATATAGATCTCCCTCCCATAATTACGCGACGTTATGCGACTTGAACGAAAGAATTGTAGGAAATTTAGTCTATGCTGCAGCCTTTCCGCTTTTACCAGTGACAGAACGAGCTTCGCGTTTGATGACGGACTAGCCCACTTCGTTCGTTCTGAGCTCAAAGTGCTACTTTATAAATTTGACGAAGTTCTACTTCTCGGGATACGGTCAAATCAAAACTCTAACAAATAACCTATTTCTAAACAAAAGTTTGACACTTTAGTTAGCTAGCTTTGCTTTACCCTCTACCCGTTATCATCTCCAGAATAGAGATTCGGTGGCTTATTGGCAGACGTATGTAAGCATGTGTATTTGAAATACTAGGTGGAAAAAAGTTACGTCATGTTCAGCAAAAGGACGTAAAGGGCACGCCCTTATACTGGCGTTATCCGTACTTTTCCCATTCGTGAACATTAGCTTGATTTTTAATTGTTATTTGCGCTGTTTCTCCGAAACTCCTGGCCTAACGAAGAGCAGAAGAAACTGAGCCCAAACTCAATATTTGTACCTCGATGTGAACGCGTAGCTCAGGTAGGATAACGAAAATACAAAGTGGATGCTAAACAAGTTCATTTGAAGAAAAATATGTTGTTTTCAGCTCTATTATGCAGCGTTGTTATTGCCATATTGTCAACAGATCCTGTCGGCGGTCAGGAGGTGGGTGTGACATATTAGGTTCTACGTAGTTAATTCATGTATTTTACATGAATTATATTTATCGGGTTAGTGTTTTTGGACAAACCGGTGCGACGGCAAAAAACAATTTCTGGATGATTAAGCCGTTGCAGGCAAGGCGAAACTATGTCTATAGCCACGATGGTCGATGTGCTGAGGTCCTTGTGATGGAATTGGGCCGTATCAACAACGGGCTAAGCTATGACTAGACGGCTTCAATACGTTTGAGCCCTCATTTTTTCCGGTTCGATTCGCTTCGATATCATTGCAGTTATTAGCAAATGCTGTTGCAATTATTCTAGCTTTAATTATGGCGTTAGTTCACCTTAATAGTCCTTAAAGTAACCCTACGTTGTCCGTCTCTCCCACCGCAAGTCAGTGAGTTCTTTCTGTTCGAGGACCATAGTGTTACTATAACATCTGATGCTAACGGCACTTCACTTCATTAAAAAAAATACGATTCTTATCATCGTAATTTGCGTACGTTTATTACGCTAATGTAAGAATACATGTACGCACTGAAGGAAAGAAGCTTTTTGGCTTGTATTAGTTCTAACCTTGTGGATAAATCAACCTGAAAGTAGAGCCCATTCCACGTGACGCTGCTTGATACACGTTTTGTCGGTTAGGTACTTTCAAACGAAACTATCGTAGATTCGCCTTTTACGCCGATATAATACCTAACGTACGTCAGTAGTATGTCTGTCTCCAAGCGTACGCCGAGGTTCTTTTACGTGTGTTGATATAAGTACTGGGAACTTCGCTAGTATTATTTCTTTAAGTTGTCAAGACCCGCTTATATTAAAGTTCCTTAAAAAATAAAAACTAAGTGTAAATCTTATGTTGCACTAAACTTGGAACTCGGCTCCGTGTGTGAATATATACGTTTGGTGACACGTCAGGAAATTGCTGCTATGGCTGAAACAGGGAAGTCCGTGAGCTGGTCTTGGCCTTCAGCAATAAAGGACAAACTTAACCAAAATATAGATCAATTAATTAACAGGCTTCAGCAAGACTCCCGAACGTCGAAATTTTTTGATTTCCTATTTGAAAATAGGGTAAGTACGTGAACACAGCAATGCATGTTTTTTGTAATTATTTTCATGAAATTAGAATGCGAGCTACGTTAATGGTATCTTACGGAGAAATACGGAGTAAATTCGATCCCGTTTTTTTTTCTTTTCGACTAACTAATAAGCTTCAGCGGTTTTGTCACATTTCCATGCATGGTACAACTGAAAACATAACAACTAGTAGAGAAAATCTCTTTTACATTGGTGAGCTTCAACTCGTACCTAATTGATGCCTTTGATCAATCGAGTAGGACTAATAGATATCTTAACTGGTATCAGCAATACAATTATTATTCAGTGTAACATGTTAGCCTAGGCTTACTGCTTATTATCCAGCCCTCGTTTGTGTTGAAACTTCAGACCGCGGTCTACCTTTCGACAACTTGTTTTATCGTTGGTACGAGCCTTCTGATAGTCATCCTGATAATCTATAATCCAATCCTCTCGCCCTTCACGGCAGAAAAACACAAACGGTATGTTTTGAAACTTCACTAAAGGTGATTATTTTGCAAAGAATGGATAATGGATGGTAATAAAATAACTTTGTCATATGATTAAGATAAACATTATCATTTGCTACGTAATCTCGCTGGTATTCGCCTTTGCTCTACGTAAATTGTGGCTAATTGTAACTAAATCCTGCATGGCCGCATGATGTTCAACGTTCGAACGTGGGTTATGCCCGCTTGATGCCCACAATAGGACTGGGCAAATAGTATCATTGAATTACTAATAGCAATTGGCTTTTCTGTCTTTTATAGGCGGTTTCGACTAGCGGAAAAGGGTCCTGAACTTGAAAGTCTGATCACAAAAAAGCCAGATACGGAACAGGCGTGCTCAGCTGGGGCAGGTGACACGATTGCAACGCAGGATGCTCAGTACGTGTACATTGTGGGAGTGTATGCAATACGAACTACCAGTGCGAGGAAATAGAAAACTTCTATTCGAAGCACTGTTAAAATGAAGAGTACTAATCACAACATCAGCCGGTTCCTACAACAGCAAGATTTAGTTAGTACTAACGGGAAAGCAATGGAATACCGCTAAATACGCTCTTCTAAGGAATAAGAGAGCCATTTGTTTCAGCTTATTATTATTTAGCTCAGACCATAGTAAGTGGTATTCCATTACTTTTTTTTTGGGAGACAAATATTTAGTACTAAAAGGTGACGTTTAATGAAATTATATATTCTTGTTTGATAATCTCTAAAGCATCTAGAATTTTTTTTTCTAGAATTTTGCGGCCTCCCGAATGGTCATTGTGAATTCTTAAGAGACCTAATAAATCTATCGACTGAAGCCTGAACTACGTTCACACACTTCCTTTGATTTCATCCCTAATGATGAAATCTTCTGTTTCTTATACTGAACTATTAGAGCTGGAGTCTCCCAAAAAAGGACAGACCTTTAGTATTATTATACGGCTATTCGCCTATATTTAATCGCTAAATTGGTCCCTACTTGTAAACAGCAAAGGCTCACAGGAACCATCCATCAAGGTAGAGGGACGTGGCGTGGACTGGGCGTCCGCAACAGCCAAGGCAGTACTGGAACAACCTCGACGCGGGTCAGACCCATACGGGGGTATCATTGAACTGTGCAAGCAGAAAATGCCCGCGCGTTTCGCAGACGTTTTGGAGGCATGTATCTTTTTCGGGAGTAGCAACCAGCATTTCCAATACTAGAAATAATATAACAATAATCGCTCTTGAATAGTTCCAAAAGTTTTGCCATTTTTGTCCAAATAAACCCTCAGACTCTCTAATGATATATTTGAGCTGGCTATATGCCACGCTATACCGCTGTATACAGAAATATTTCATGCACCCGTCAGTGCCAAGGAATAGCAGTAAAGGAAATAAATACTCAACCGTACTGAAGTCAATACTTCATTTTACATTTGTAAATTAATGAGAGGTCACCTGTTTGATTTTAGCTTAAGCATCCAGAAGATTTGTACACGTTCATTGGCCGGACAGCGGATGGAGTGCTATACCGATTTCAAGCGACAAATATGAATTTCATCGTGAAAATTTTTCCTGTATTTAGTGAGTCGATTGCTGATAAGGAGCGACTCCTTCGCAGCTTGATGTTCTTAAATCGACTGCATACCTCGCCGTCGAGGTTCTTGTGCAGGAACTTCGTCGAGATCGAAGGCGCAGCGTTTGTGCAGGATAATTTCCCGTCAAGTTTGCTCAATCTAGCAGCTGCTTCGCACACGAAAACCACCAGCGCCAATCACACCGGCGACGCAACGACCCCCAGAGATCCATTTTACGTTTGCCGAAATTATCTGGTCGTCTCGATGGAGCCTGCAGGCATGCCTTTCAGTCGTTGCCTGATAAAGAACGCCGCTCAAGCCAAAAGTATTGTACAACAACTATGCTTTACCTTGGCTGTCGGAGAGCGATTTGCCGGCTACACAGTTCATGTGGCTGACGTTGACAAGGTAAATACCATTATTTTTCGGTCAACGTCGCCTTATATAAGGCCTTATTATATGAATAAATTTTTACGAAAAAAGGCTTTTGTGATGAGCTGCTGTCCGGCTTGCTGACGAGAGTAATTTGCAATATGCAAGTATATTATTAGAGAGAGAGTATTGAATTTTGTCATTAAATGGAGCCGCTAATCGAATCATATGCAAAAAACTGAAATTAACCCGTTCACAACTATGATTTGCAGGTTTATCTAAAGTCTACGGAGAAGGGCAAGATCGATTTTCGACTCGATGGAATCTCAGTAGCGGTCAGGCTGATTGACGGGGTTATTGCTAAACTAGGTGGAACATCTTTCTCTCTCGGCAGTGCGTCACTCAACGAGAATCAGCTGTTAGTATCCTTTAAGATGCATTTAGCTTAAGTGTCTTGTCCATTTGTGTTATAAACATTTTTGAGACTATTTTAGAAAAAGTAAGCCCCTTAGTTTTACAACGTAACTCGGGGTTGCCCAGTGAATGACAAGTTTCACAGCACACGTTACCGAAAGGTGCTTGGAAGGCAGTGATGGCCGCATGGGCGATCAAATCGGTTCATCGCCACCCGCTTGCAATTGCTTTCAGCGTTTCCACTTCAAAGTAGCCGCGATCACGACGTATGGGATACATCTGATTTGAGATCTCTCAATACAACCTTTTTAACAATTAAACCGCGTTAAAGCTTTTTCACCTGAAGCATTGGGCTGCCCGTGGTGATTTGAAGTTGCTTCGGGTACCTCCTAACTGGCCCGTCAGTCCTGCCTAAAGATCTAATGCGTCGCTTTATGCTCCCGAAAACGAAGGCCTTAAACATGTTTGATCCTAGAAACTGGGGGGTCAAAACTTCCCGAGTATTGATAGGGTCGTTTTGCTTTTCAGGTGCGACTAGAAATACGAGTGGAAAAACAAACCTACTAAATAAACATGCCGGCAATATCCGTGCAGGGATCCTACTAGAACTTTTGTAGTGGGGAAATGCTAGATACCATACCAACTGATGCCCTATGCCTCTAGGACACCACTGTTAACTAGTGTTATAGCAGAGCAAGGCTCATGTAATTCATGTGATGCAAACATTTTAGATGGTTCTACACAGAGTATTGGAATTGTGTTATTAACCTGTAGTAGTAAGAAGAAGTAGAAGCTCAGCTCTTAAGAGTTGAGCTTCACGAAAAAGGCATACGACACTGTAAATACGAGAGTTGCGCAAATTAGAGTAATAAAATGATTCATTTTTGTAAAACACTGCGTAGATAAACAACAGTCGTTGTCAAAATCGTTTACCCTGTCCATACCGAACTCTTTCAGAATCGAAGCCGCTGATCGTCGTATACCGAGGACGTTTGACCGAAATGTCGAGTTCCTTTCGAGAGTCGTCAGGTTATTACTTGAACGGATCCCGCGAGATATCGATCCAAACACTATTCGAGATGAGCAGAAAATCATTTTCGATCTCAAGGACATTGAAAGTCACTTAAGAAACTTCGACTGCGTCTATCGCTTCACAATGTTTAAATTTATCCAGCCCAGACAGTCGCTCGCAGTGGTTAGCGTCAATGGACCAAAACTCGCTCATAATTTCGGCGTTTAATAAGGAACTCTAATGAGCATCTTCGAATACGGGAATACAGACCGTTTGTTTTTAAAAGGGACAAAAGCCTAGACCATTACGATAACACAAAATATATTTACCTATTACAAACCCGTTCTTTCTTCATATGGAGTAGCTGGTTAAGGTCAAACAATGAGCTCGAGGTGATAGCGTTGTTGGCTGGTATAACCCTCAGATTTGGCGACAAGGGAACATTCTCCAAATTCGAATTAAATTTCCGTACGCAAATATGTGGTAAGCACTCGTTTTTGCCTAAAGCAAATGAATGTATTTTATAGCTAAAAGAGAGACTCTTTTTCTAGAAAGTTACCCTTCCCGCATGGTTGGATTATCACAAATGCATTTAACCCTTTGCCTCAGAAAGCAAACCTCTCCCTTTAAATTCAACAAACGTCTCGTCCGATATGTGTTTTAAACTTTAGGTCTTATCGCATAGTCTATGATGTGTCGAAGAAGTTTTAAGCTAAAGGTCTTAACTTGAACAGAATATTGTTCGTGCTCTCTAGGCCAAGACGTCCCATAAAAATTAATAGCCTTTACTCTAGCGTTCCTGTAATTTCAACGTTCGTTTCTCAATACCAGTCTCGGGCTTATTTGAGCATTTGTTTTTTAATTTCAGAGTAATTGTCAAAAAAAGTACTATATATCATCATATATTTATATATGCGGTGTACCACTTGAAACAAATTAAGGGAAAACATAATATGATACGGTTCTATTCGACAGATTCTTTATTTTTTGATTATCGTCATCATAGGCATTGTTCATCACACAGCATTTGAACGTCACCTTCCCCTTCTTGCCATTTTGTAATCTCTGTCCCTTCTCGTTTTTTTTACAAACATTTTTGTGATCTTTTGTCATCCATCTGTTGCCCGCTTCGTGCATTCTAGAGGTGAAATGCATCACAAACGTATTTGTTTCCAAAACACTATTTAGCTCTCTATTGCCAACTGATCTTGAAACTTTCATTACAGAAAAAATATTACCTCTTACTTCTTCACGTTTGTTATTATTACAAGTTTTTATTCGAACTATTACGTTTATTACATGAAATATATGACGATCGATCATCGGTTCACCGACAAAGGGTAGGAGGGTTACTTGCCGTTCTTTTTCCGTGGACAAAATAACCACCTTAACACCCGGCCAGCCACGTTCTACATGCGTTCCTCTCTAATTAATCTAACGTGAATTATTGCTGATGCCAAAGTTCTATACAGCACGTTTCCCTAAACCTGACAGTAACACGTATCTAGCTAGCTCGCCATCGAAAATTTTAGGCATTTCATCTTCACTGCCACACGGCTGTAGGCTGAGAACGCGACACACGACTGGCAGAGGTCACTGAATTACGTGTATATACTTTTCGCTTTCCTCTCGTTTCGTCTATTTATCTACATATAATTCTGTCATTGTGTTATTTTAATATTTAATAAGCTCAGACGGTTTCGTGTGTTCTGTAGATTTTTCATCTTCATACATTACATTTTGTTATTACCTTTGTTAAAGATTAATGAGATTCAATTAACGACCATTCGAACCCTATATAATCCTGTTCTGTATTTCCATAGTCTATACGAGGTGTTACAAGTATGTCGTAGACCGTTTCTTCGTCGATTGTTCTTTCTATCAGTTCTTTTTGGCACAAACACGTTCTCCGACGCCTCAAGTAGGCGCCTAATCGGGTTGTCACAACGAAGGCTGATATAAACAAAATGCGAACACTGGAAAAAAAACATTGTTTTTCCAAGGCTGAGTGAAACCAACGCTATTTGTACTGTGACAAAACAACAACGATCTGCGCGATGTTCGTAGTGATTTTGATAAGGCGCAAGGAACCTGTTCAACTCTATCTATTCTATATCGAATAAAAGTAGTAGTGACGACCGTAAGCAATTTCGTTTCCGGTTAGTTCACTTGCTGGTCCATACAGAACCCAATCACCGTTTTCGACAAAATGTTTTGGCTTGCTGTTGTTACCTTCGATACGTTTTAAAGACAATTATACTTCCAGTCGTCATTTTCCAAGTGTAAATCCGACTGTAAGGCTTATAGAATACAAGAATTATATATTTGAAAGATGCCAGTCTTATTTAATGATAGACGTTGAAAAACAAGCTGCACTATCATGCGGATACATCAAGTTTACTGAGAATATATCATGATGAAGGAAAAGCTTCCGTCTTATTCTGGGTCGGGAGCAAACACAATTGGTAAGCGTTGTGCTCTATGATGGTGCAGCCGAGCAAGTGTCAATTTTCGCGCAATCGGATGTTCCTAATATATATAATTATATACATAAGAAAAGGAAAATTCCGATGCGCGAGTATTGATGCTTACGTGCTCGATGGTATATATGAGTTGTATAAATTCACTCAGACATTTTTGCTTTGAAATTTGTTTGTTGGACTATTCGGCCTTGTCCACCAAGATCGTTTTCACTTTCAAACGCTCTATTATTTATGTACATATTCTAAATACAGCCACGGGACAATCCTACGCGGAATGTACGACCTCGGAACACATTTATGTATCTCTTCTCCAAACAATTCAAAACTAAGTTAAACAAAGTGCGCTGAGAGGAAATGTCCATCGGGAACAAACGCTCCGATGAAACTACGCATATATCGTATATTAAGTCATCTATTCAACTTATAATGTCCACGATTCGATAATCGTAGCACAATGATTCTGGCTATTTGTCTCGTCGTCGTCATATATAGATGGATCTGCATATCAGCATCTACCTTTCAGCTCATTAAACGTTCTCTATTCGAATCCCAGACGCTACAGTGGTACTTCCCCAATTTTGCATCGCTGATATCTGAAAAACCGCCATTTCATGATGTACACTTGCCCTCGGCCCTGGACGGTATCTACAATCGTCACAACACTACCTTCTTCAACGAAGACTTTCGCTAGTTCCTTTGCCCCTAGTTTTCATATCTCGTATTCGTATTCTCTCCTGTTTGTTACAGATATTAACAGTACAACTGTTGTAGTTGTTTTTCTACTGTACGATTTGCATCTTGATGAATTCTGCCCAAGCCATACCGACGTTTACGTTCGTGCCGTCACCATCCTTGTACCAATGAATAATTAGGTAAGTCAGACCAAACAGGATCTGTCGGATAATAGTTATTGTATAATGTTACGATTAAATTTCAAGAACGTATTAGATGATTCGAATTTTGCGGCTACCAATAGCGTCTAGCGCTGTATATCACTTCTGTAAGCATATCCCAGATTAGTATATCCGCTGTTTTCTGTAATCGTTCTCTTGTATTTTAGTCGTTGTCTTATATTCATCAGAGTCTGAACCCTTTAGACGTTGATTTATACAGAACTACTGCGGCTACTAGCCATTTCCGCTACTGTAAAATGCAGCCACCGTCGCCCTCGTCATCGTCAGAATCTCGGCGGAAACTCTCGACAGGTCGAGAGAGATCTTCAAGCATCTCATGATTGGCCATTGTCCGTCGAGGCGAGAGATTTGGCTGGGATGTTGAGTGACTCAAACTGGCTGTCGCTTCTAGCCGAACTTCCTCTTCTGGAATCAGAAGATGACAGAATACGCAGCTCAAATCATCACCGAACGGCAAAGGGCATGTTAAGGAGACTTTTTACTGGCGAAGGGAGAGGAAGAAAAGGGACTAAAGTTAAAACTTTTCTTGTTAGAAAACACCGCGAAGCCTTTAGAATTAAACGATTTAGCTAAGCATCTGGGGTTGTATCGTAATCCACTAATATCTACATTAAATCTTTCCTATATATAGAGTGCAAGAGAATCGTTTAATATGGAAGTTACAGACAAATCACTGCAGTGGAACACACAAATGACCATAGCAAAGAGGCTTACTACGCTACAGTCGTTCTTGCTTAGAAAAGATCCATGTAGAATTTAATAACTGATGTGAGTTACACTTGCCATGATCTAAAGGCTGTAGTTTACACCGGTTTACGTCGAAGCTATCCTCCTTGGCAAGGTCACTTTCGTTAGAATCTGCACTTGGCGGGCGCTGCTTTAGCGGCGTTTCCGGCACCGGAGCGCCAACGGGCGCTACGGCCCCGCTGATACCAGTTTCCCGCTCGACGAGCGAACCTACCGGTTCGTTCGATAAGCCTGAACCTTTCAATAAGGGCGGCAGCTGCAGGCTCTGCTTAAGACTGCGATTAATCTGAGCAAATACATTCTGAAAGAATGGACGGTATCCGGCGCTGCCATCGTCCACAAATCAAATTCATATGACAAGCCCACTTGAAACAATATAGAAGAGGTTTAGAATGAAAGGTGCTAAATGATTATCTAATTTGATTAGCTAACTTAGTTACAAGTTAGCTAATCAAAAATAAATGACCGTGTATCGGACAACATAGCAATCAACTATCTAGTGCTGTATGTAACGTGCGTCTATGATATTAGCGTGTATTAACGAACGTACAGTTGAACGCTGTCTGGCTCAGAAATCATTCAACATACTTCTTACCATTCTTTGTGCGCCCAATGGTCTAGCGTTTGTACTGCTTGTCTATGTACAGTTGAGCGAAGCGCGAGTCTTACAACTATTGTTGGCTGATTGAGTATGACTGCACATAATAGCGTCCAATCACTGCACTCGTGTGTTGTTAGAAGCTCGCTAACGTGTAACAACTGACGTATCACTAAATCACGTTCGGAGGCCCGACCCGAGTTCCAACCGTCAGACGCTCCTGCAATTTTAGTGTTCCAAAAAAATTGGGCCAAACAAAAGAAACTTGTTAGGTAGAGCTATCTGGTGTTGTCGCACAGAAAAAAAGAAATTTCTAACTATGCCGTTGAGAACGGGCCACGCGAATCCTGCGATTCATCTGTTTCCTCCTTCGTAAAGGGCGATACTATAAATTAATGTTGACTGCATTGTATGCATTGCAAGACAGATGTTTTTTTACCAGTTGATCTCTAGGTTTTGGGTTGCTCGTTACAGACAGAGTCCGGTTTTTAAGTTAGCCACTGTGGGTTCACGAGAAGTCGACGACTCACCGAATTTTCGATCTTCCGTGTTGTTTGGGCTATTGTTTCCTGATGCACTGCACACATTGACGGCCATGGTGCTAACTGTATCCTGCTGTTCGAGTTGCCAACTGCCCGTCTCAGAAACACATAAAGAATCACAGTCGGTGTTTCGTACCACATAAACTTGACCCCCGCTTAATGTAATGCTTTCACCATTGTGCTGGTCAGTTAATCCGTCACCGTTACGGTTTTCTGCATTCATAGTACCCCCCATGGTATGTTTTTTAACCGTTGTATCCATAACATCCCCTTCAGCTAGTGACGGGGTTTGAAACGGCACGTCGATCGATGTAATGCCGGAATCCGAGGCCATACTAGAACTGCGCGCTGCCTGGCCCCCGTTTAACATCAAGTTGACAACCCCAGAAGGACTGTTTGTAGGCGATTCACTTGATGTACTACTCACATCTAAAAAGAATACATCGATATAAGCGAACGAAATTATAGTATGTTAAAATGTTCATACATTACGCCGCGATGTTTTATAAAGAATATGCCAAGGTCGTGAAATATTTAAAGATCGCTTGGAAAGGATATGAAATATAACATTGAGTTGTTGTTATTATTACTTTTGCCGGGTCCAAAAAATCATCGCCACTCGACTTGTGCGCTATTAAGCAACACTACACTTGTACGAGATTTCCGGAAGTCCAGTTTATACCATTAACATTCAAGCTCATAACTATCTCATTCATTAATCGCAAGCATACACATCGAACGTTACGAAACTGTTACTTTAACATTATATCAGTCCAGCTTGACCTGGATTCTCGAGCTATGTATTCCGTTTAACTGCAATTTTTCTATGCCTTTGTTACCCTATAACCGTCTCTTTGGCACAATATCAGTATTGTTCCATTTAACGTAAGTCGCCTTGTAATTTTCAAATTTACGTCACTCGGGATAGAGCCAATCGGCGATCAGAGTACGTCAGAATTTCTTAACCCATTTCCAACAGCAGGACTTCGGGACAGAAATTAAAAATGCACATTTTCTCTAAAAGTCCTATTTTTATGCCTGAGCTGCTGCTGAAAAACTGAGCAGCCTCCATATTTTGTAGCCACAGAAATTCTCAACCCCTCTGTTGAGAACATTACCTGATTCACTTTAAAATATTTGTAAGAACTGCTTATGCTAGTTATTAGTTAAATGAAGGATAAACAATTGTAAGGACGCATGGCGCTCACCCAGACTGCAGCAACGCTTACCATTACATACAACTGGCTCAAATAAAAGCTATAATAAAAAGCCTTAAAATATTCGTACTTACCGCTACTCGGTACATATGACGGATACGGAAACTCGAAGTCTCGATGGAGATTCTTCAGGGCTAGAGGGTAATCTTCTACTCTGGCTGCCTTAAAACGTTCTTTCGATAAAAATGTAGCTAGTGGAAAATCTAGATAAGCAACCAAGTGACCGAATTTTCGTAATTGCCCTGCCTGGAGCAACTTTCGAGAAAAACGCATAAGGATTACATCGATGAATGCTTCGTTCATGACGTCAGAATCATCCCTAAAAAGAGGAAAAAAATTATTGTTATTAACAAGCGAGTTGACACAACCGAACACAATTGATATACCCTCCTCACACCTCTTACAAAACCAGCCACTTTTATGTCTTATAAGGTCCTATGATATTTAATGAAGTAAACAAATCGCTCACCGGGAGGTACTCGTAGGAAGTTTGGGCTGAGTGTTTGGAGTCTTGTGTTCCATCGAAGAGATGTCACTCTTCGACGAGAGACGCTGTCGACTATTTTGGCTTTGCGGTGGGCCCATCATCGAAGCCATCATCAACGTGATGTCCTCATCCGGTTTGACTGGCACAACGGACGGGCCAGGACCGCCCTTAGTCCCCTTGTTGGCGGGCAAAAGTGAAGGTAGGAGCGACGCTCGCGGTGGAGACTCAACATCGGCCGGGTCAATAGCCTTAAGGAAGCGGATTATGTCCTTGGCAAGCTGCCATTTACCGGCATCTAGAGCCGAACCTAGTAGAATGGTAGCGTGCTGTCGGGACACGAGCGCCACCTCGAGGTTTTGCAGAACGAGTAGATAGGATGTGGCCGTTTCGAGTTGACCCTGCAGGATACATTCTTGGAATAAGTCCTTGGGATTGCCAACGGCAGCGAACAGATGCGGCCAAAGAGCCAGCTCCGTCTTGCGAGCACATTGTACCACCGTGGTGAGGAAGACCGGAAACTCGCGGATAAAATCGATCACCCGTGGGAGAAGGGCATCGGGAATCGGGTTTGAAGAATTTGCTTCTTCTTCTAAGACTTCATGAAGCAAAAGCTCCAGCGAGTGATTGAAGTACGGCAGATGACTGCAACTGTTCGCGATTTGCCATGCATGGCTGCCCAGGTTTCGCACGAGCAACTTGTTGATAATTGGATGCAGATATACCTGACTGGATTTTGACACCACGCAGTGAGGAAACCTTGGAAAGAGACTTTGGATCGACACGTCGCTTTCAGCTCCAAGAACGATCACCTCGTTGAATAATACAGCCAACGGATATATGTGGATCTTGATTGCTAGCATGATCCGCTTTGACATAAAGTTGTGCTGCTTGTCAGCTGCTGGGAACAGTGGCAGCCATATCTGCATGCCCGCAGCGCCGCACGCAATATACAGGGCTTGCGTGAGGTGGGGCATTTTCGGGTTTGAAGTGCACGAGATCCACATGTTTTCTACACTTGAAGCGAGGACGATTGGATTACTATAAGCGCACTCGCTCAGTTCAGCCGATGGAGGCGCTACCGAAGGTCGTCTCGCCGCTGCGAAGACGTCTTGTTGAAGCAGATAAAGACGGCCGCATACGTTTAACAAGATTGATTCCGGTCGCTTCTGAATATAAGCCGGGATCGTGGACACGGAAAGGTTCGTCAACGTAGCCGATATTACACAGAGGCAATGCGGTAACAGGCTGGAGACATCGATGTTCTCGAGACGAACTAACTGAATGCCTGCCTCTGATGGCAATGTTAGCCGCTGCATGAGGTAGATGTTAATGTGCGAATTCGACATGAACGCCAACATTTTGTCTTCGCATGTTGACAAATGCAGAACCTGCGCGTCGCACTTCTGTATATAGGCATTACTATTGTCAAGCTTCTCGTCACGTGGATACATTCGAATCTCATCGGAAGGATCTTTGAGATTGACACATCCGCAAACAACGTACTCAGACCACCAAAGCAAGCCGCCCGCGATTATGAAATCCTGCTCTTGGGTTTCGTTACCAAAGAATTTCCATTTTTTTGATTGGAGTGAGTATATGCAAAAACCGTATTTTCCGGCGACGCAAAGGTTGCTGCCGTCACGGTCGATGCACGAATAGCGGACAGGTCCGTTAAGGCCGAGGTACGTGCTTGGTATGGGCACATGGATCCAATGCTTGTTGGCCGAGTGGTTTTCGAGACTAGGGCCCGTCCATGGCGATCCGGGTTCATTGCTTGTCTTTGCTAGCGCGTCTTTCGAGCTGATTAAAACACTGGTAGCACCCTGTAGCAATATCTTCTGTTGATCGCATTGCGGCGCCGGGTTGAGAGTAGCTGCCGCCTTCATGAATCCTAGCAAACAGATGTCTTCCTTGTCAGAGCCTAACCAGAGATTATATCCGTCAAAGCCCCACTCCATGGCACGAATCTGGATTCGGCAATATGGTGATTCCCAATTGAGCGAACAGAAAATCAAGGATCCAAACACGGACCACACAGCAACACCGCAATTCTCCCAGGCCACAGCTACGGCCGTATTATCGGGTGTCCATTGAATGCACTTCACCGCGCCCGCAACCTTGCTCACATCTGTAAAACAGTTACGATATAAGTAACCGTTTGGTTGCAACGGTACAGCTTGTACCATTTCAACTATCATAAGCATTGCCTTTTTAGCTGGCTTACTGCAAATCTTGATACATCTGTTCAATACCACTAATTAGTACTTCTAGTCACTTAGTGACTATCCAATTATCAACAGCCTTTGAAGTGCATCCACAGCGAATTGCCGTGAAGGTAAAGGAGGGCACAATCTAGATTTTTTAAAGGAACCCATTATAACAGATGCATGTCTCACACGCACATTGGCTAGCATAACTCTTCGCCTACGTCCAACGCCTCAGTCTACTAATATCGGTCAATGGCTTTAGTGTCATACCACAAAAAATAAAAAATATTGCCCAATATTATTTTAAGGTTGAAAATTTTGAAAATGATTCCACAATGTCGTTCAAGTGACAAATATATCACCGTCATATATAAATAGATGTATCACCGTTGCTAATTTGACTCGATTACATTAGGTAGTGTATGTCGAGAGCTTTCGATAGTTCCGTTGAACACAAAAGAAGTGTCATATCTAATTAGATTAATCCATTTCGACTTATTCGTTAATTAACGAAATTTGTTAATAAAAAAAAAAGGACAAACATATGATGCAAGTACGTGTCCCTGTCCGTAACCAACCTGGGAAGTCCTTGTCACTGAGCATTAACTTGTGAGAGAGTACAAAAGTCACCGTCACCTCATCAAGATAATAAACTACACCCTCGGAATCGCTCAGTCCATACGCGATTAGCCGGTACCGGTGATTAACAGCGGTGCAGGTTGCTTTCGTAACGTCCATAATCCAAACACCTTTAACCTCTCCTGGAGAGAATCTGTTCGTCGTCGCCATAATGACGCCGGCACGCCCATTGGCGAACACTATTGACAACGAACCAATCAATGGTAAATACTGAACATCAACGACCTCGTATGTCTCGTTCGTGAAACTGCTTCCTGAAAGGGAGATAAGAGCGTAAAGAAGCATTTGTACATAGTATGTCAACGATTTAATACGGGACTGAATCTTCCAGGAACATCTGAACATGCTGAAATGGGATGAAAGCGAAACCTGTGCAGCTCTGCAACGTGGATTTTTATAGAGCACATTCTACAAACTATCTATGTAACTATTGTTATCAATATACTTACTCCAAGTGTATACTTCAGAGGCAAACTTCACTTCCTTGAGGTCGATGGTAAGGTCATCCTGAATTTGACCGTCCCATGCCAGCCGTAAAATACGGCCGTCTTCCTGAGCGACCAGAAGTTCGTCCCGGAACGACAGAAGTGCTGATACCTTGCACGGAAGAGTACATTCTCCTCCAGAGGATAACACGATAGGATACACCTTATCCTGAAATCAACAAACACCAAATAAAATAAAGATTTGCCCGCGACTAAATAACACGTGATTTTTGGTCAGATACATTTAGGAAGTTCCGTCAAGTTTTTAAAAACTCGTTACTGCCAGCGGCCGTTTTGTTTGGTTTCCTGAATGAAGTAAATCAAAACAGGAGAACAACTATTGTATTTTTTGTTTCAGCTTAAAAGCTATTACGATATAAAATTACTAAATCGAGTTTTGCCACGGGGGAACATGGCTTAATATTACAAATAACCGCATGGACATCAGGTGTTGTGGGAGATTTTTAAAATTTCATAGACATTTGCGTACAAAAAGTTCGCGGAAACTATCCATAACGTTTCAAAAACACCTAAGTGTTTTTTCTCAGTTCAATTTAACCAATCTTATATATAGAACCAAATATAACTAATAATTATTACAGCCAACTAAATATTATAGTCTAAGTCCGGATCTGTTGTACACAACACATTTGGTATGCCACTGCAATAAACCCAATAGAGCAGCATCGTAAAAAAGGGCACCCACCCATAGCAGTTGGCCTACCTGTCGTCAGAACAACACCTTTTTCCCGGACGACAAGCCTTCGACATCGGTCTCTGATACACACACAAATGGGCGCAGAAATCAATGCCCTCCAGACAATGCCAGTGCCTATTATTATATTTCTCCTGGCTTGAGGCTCTGTTAGAACATCGCGCGCGATAATACGTGCACCTTTGTCACGAGAGTACCTATCTTTTGCCTTTTTTTTACGTAAGCTTTAGCTGATGTCAACGTAACTTGATGCAAATAGGAATAATCCAGGTTATTACAAATAATAGACCGTTTTTTTTCTGTCCCTACCATCAGGCTCTTAGTTTCTGTTGGTTTTTATCCTTTACAGAATGCGGAAAAAATCACATCCATGGATTGCCGATTTCGCGGCTGTAGTAAACCCAGATAAGTGTGTTAGCTTTCTCCCAATATTTATTCCTCCAGCGGACCAGATGCTGCCGCCCTTGGCCTGTTCAGATATGACGCCGTGGAATTGCTTACTTCCGGACTAATCATATAACCTCAATATCCTAAAAATCACCTGTAGCTTTGTTTATGCTTACTTGTACGTAATTACCACTTTCAACGTGCAATATAACCTTTACAGTTTCCACGCATTCGTTAGTCCGGATCTAAATGCAGCTGTAACTTCAGATACCGATAAATGTACTAAAAAATGCCCGCTCTTTCATAAGTCATGTTGGGTACATTAGGTAACGACGATAACGACTGCTTTGTTCTTGCTGCTTGATAGGCCCAACTGTTGAGGCTTACAGGTTCAACGGAGATTTTCCCATACGCTTTGAATACACTGATTCTAACGATATTTACTTCGAATTAAATTTCTTCTCTTGTATTAAACGTGAGCTATCAATACACAATATGAGAATGTCGGTGGTTAACAAAATGATGAAGGTAATTTTGCTTCTTACTTGCCAACGCCGGAGTATAATAATAATTACGTAGTTATGATTTTATTATATTTTTTCGGATAAACGTGTCTGTACATTAACTAACGTCACGTATTGACTACTCGTAGAGCTATTCACGATTGTTCTAAGAGTAACGCAGCTAGCAAACGAAAGAGAACCATTTCATTCAGATCTTTCGCAAACAGGTAAACAATAGCCTTCTTTTTTTATAATCCGTCACTCGATTCGCTCTCTATCCTGCAATTGGAGAAACAGCGGCGAAGAGTGTTGACTTAAACATTCCAGCTTCGTTATTTCAACACGTATATGGTGAAGCGGTATATGTCGATAATATATAGATACTTGGTAATAAATAGCACAATTTTAGTTCCAGCAAAGACGATATGTCTCTTATATCGACAGGAAAGACCGCTTATCATTCAATAGCTAATTCGTTACGAGTCGATCGATCGTTCGATACCAGCCATTCGCTAAAAATCTTACTTGGAATCTTCGACTATCTCCCAAAACGATTCGAGTACCCTTTTAGACAGGAAGAATAGATGTTTTAGCCTTTTTTAGATGATAATTTTTACCATATATGTTATGATATATGGATTTTCCTGGAATTCGTTGCTATTTGCTAATTTCAAGTTTCGTAAGGATAGATATTGTAATAGAGCCTTTGACACATAGGTACTGATTTTTACCAACCTTGATGTACAGTTCGGAACTGTCCCTTTTAAAGTGCCTGTCGATGTCTCTTTGTTCGTAAATGGGATTTGACGAGAATGCATCACCCTCAACCTGGTGGAAGAACACGTGGTCTCGGCCAGTCACTATTGCCAAGGCTGATGAGTCCCTCCGCCAGACGACCCGTACGTTCGGACCATACGCCGATAGCGAAGCCAATGAACGCCGATGGCACCATAATAGTAGTGGATGCTAAAAACACGAAAAACATAGCTTTTGTTAAGACAAAAAATTATTCGGTACATTCCTATGTAAGTGATTGCATAGAACGTGAACAACTTATTATTGTTATTTCCCTTTAGTTACCCAATTTTTTCCACTAAAGTAAATTTGTTTTTAATACAATCTTTTTATTCTTTGTGAATGTAAATATCCATAACATGGGATACTCAAATATAACCTGCTATTTTTAGCATTTGGGGAATAAACAAACAAACTCATTCTGGAGGATGAAAGTTTAACACTTTAAAAAAAAATAAGTTACCGTGTAACGTTTCCACATAAAATGAACTTCCCACTTAGGGTCCGATATGTACGTTTTACATTATTAATGGTTTTTATGTGGCTTCTGGAAAATCTGAAAACGACTTCTATTAGGCGAACTTTTAGTTTTCCGATAGTTTTGATTCCAAAAAGTCCCTGATCTCTCCCTCCTCTCTCTCTCTCTCTCTCTCTCTATATATATATATATATATATATATATATATATATTTACACATGTATATACAAAATTAGGAAAGGTTTATATGTATAAACTCTTTTTGATTTCTATATAGAGAAATTAAACTATGATAGTAAAATATGGAAAGAACTGGGATATCTAGATATCCTCAACAATTAGTTCTTTGAGACTTTCCGTGCCCTCTTGTCCCTATTGAACGTATTAAGCCCTCACATTTTTTTGCGCTTTTGATGTGCTATCAGCTCAAAACTTATTTCCGCTGGAATCCTTTGTATGTCGCGTATGTTAGCACCACGTTAACGAAATTTCTCGTACTGATGACGTTCTATGAGCCAGGCAATGCTTAACGGTACCACCAGAGTAAAGCTTGAAAGAGTAAGCAATGTTTTCATTCTTCAAGTCGCTCGTCGATTGTTTCGACCAAAATTACAAATTAGCAAAGCTACTTCATATATATGAAGACTTTTAGCGAAATATAACAAGAATAAAACAAACGATCCAAAGTCATGAACTGATAGCAAGTCCGACGTCCTAAAGCCCAGGAGCTCAATAAAAAGATACACCTAAGTGCGGCCAGCCAGCTTTCTGGTGTCATCATGTAGGGCTTTAATAGAATGATGAATTGTTTAGATTAATTGCAAGCTTCTTTCTAGTGAAATAATTATTTTTAACGTTTATCGTGGAAACTTAATTTGTTTTTACTTACAACGAACAGTATATGCATATACTTTCGTATTGATGAATGAGCCTATAGTTGTGTTCAAGCCTATCTAATGGGTAACTCAACGGAGGCACTCTTCACTATTTTAGTTCCCCTAGCAATGTAAAATCAGCTACTGGCAAGCATCATAAATTGTTTATACTATAGTGGGATTATCAAACAGTCATTGAGCTATATTGTATAGACTTTTCCTTTACACGACGCGTTTCGACGTAATAGCAGATATGATCGATGAAAAACGTCTTTGTTCGTTAATTGTGGTCCTCTGACTAAATCAAGGATGCAAGATGGCAGACACGTGAGAATCAATAGGTTACTACTTCGAAAAACCGTACTTCGTTCGTAATTCGTTAACGATGACGTATTACTGTCTTCTCTATCTTTATTACTGAACGTGCACATTTTTAGTAATTGACGTTTCCATCGTTATTAATTATCACAGCATTATATTTTTTATAATGCCAAGTAACGATAACTAATGCGATGGACGGGAGAATGATGCCTATTGCTGATAACGCAACGCTGTACGATTACGCAATCTGCAGGACGTCAATAGTCATTTATCAGCAGAGCATTAGACAATGTATAATCAAAATTTAGATACGATATTGTATTGTCATACAAATTTATTGATGCTATTTCCGCCGCAAAAATAATTACGACAACTGCTTTGCTTTTCGTGTCACAGTAGTAAATAGGCTTCTTCGATAGAAAAAAATCACACCCTCATCATATCGTATCGTCTTCGTATAATATACAGGGGGATACATACAAGCGGACGAGCGTTTCACGGCACGCATCTTGAACGAGCCCTTTGATGACTATGATTTAATCAAACGGCAAGAATATAGTGGCTCGTATTACGGTAAGACACTCACGGCTATAGTTCAAGCGGATTTACCACACTGGCTGGCGACTGATACACTATGGAGCTTCTTTCTTTTTCATTCATCCCTGCTATAAGGTCGGGTCGCGGCCTTTCCCGTCCGCTGACAGTCTTAAAGCCCGAAGAGAAAGATATCGGGGACGCGTTGTTTCCGCTTAGAAAGGCGAAGACACAGAACCGGAAGGATAACAAAGCAGTCAACAAAGAATCGTCATATGCGAAGCATTACTGGAGGTATAGTCACCGTTTTTGCTCGGTACGAATCTGTCACCGTCGCCGCACTGTTGTTGAATTGCTTGCGTGAGACATCGTAGTAAAACATTGTACGTACAAATGCCTCAACGTCACTGTGGCTGTGGGTACCGTTAGCCTATGTGTTTATAACGTGCCAATGCTGCAACTACATGGGGCGAAACAAACCGCTTGCCCGGCTTACTGTTCACGCCACGTTACTCTATGTGATGAGACAAGGTGTCACATCTTGCCCCATCACATAGAGCACGAAAGTCGTCACTACTTTCGCTCACTGCATTGATATTTTGCCTTGACTTCCGTTGGAAACGCAGTGAGATGTTCATACATGGAGTTATTTGTTGGCTTGTTAGATTGGCGGCGTCTGTCGCGTTCCACAATACCGCGATAGCGTCTTACACCGATAGTTACTACACATTTTTCCGCTAATTCCTCGATCAGCGCTTTTCATCCATCTAATAGCTCTACCGTATCCTCTGAAAATTCTGTAAAGACTGATCACTTCACACGTACACGCACAACGCAAGTTTCTTTGCAACAAGAAATAACAGCCCAACAAAGAAACCTCTGTTCCCGTGCGTTGTAATACGCATTTAACGAAATAATCTATGCTAAAGCTGCCGTTTAGCAGAGGCATCTGTGTATCATGATAGTGCACTTAATACAATTCGTTTAAAACGTAACCTGTAAACGCATGTCCTTTTTCTTGTTTATGGCTATTCTTCTGTTGGAGGCTATATGAAGATACGGCCGGCCGGACCGCTGGATAATGTTCCGCCCACACTCGAAATACATCGTTTGACTATGGCAATACGACACTGCTTCGCATATGCGAAAATTCTTCTGCGAAATTTTGCTCAACAACGAATGGCTTTTAATTTAGGTATTTTTAAGCCGAGCAGGTAGGCCGTGATAGCATTAACTAAAAAGATTCAAATAATTTGCCAATCTCATCTTAATAGTAAAAGATCCATACGTATTGGATAACACAACGAAATCGTGAATGATCCTCTCCTCAACACCAAGTCCCAATACAGTGTAACCCAGCGTCAGTAATACCTGCGTTAAATCATCTTCCGTATGATTTAAGGGTCCAACTCGGTGTGTGTCTAGGATGATTTCTTTTATCTGCTGATCAAGCACAGAAAACCGTTTTATGAGTGATCAACATAGCTTTTGAGATGGCTGTACGTCTGCGCAACGGATTCCACCATTCGACCCCAATGCAGCTATTTGTAACAATGTCAAAAGGAAAAACACTACCAGGAAACAGACGAACAATCAGTCACATTTGACGTTCTTGTGGAATCTAAAATTTGCATTATTTTTTTTGGAAAATATATACAATAGGAAGGTATCAAGATTTTCTCAATCACAATAAAAATGCGTTCCAAATCACATTACAAAACGTCACGCGTGTTTTACGTACGCATGCTTACGACCGACAAGCCTAGCTTCTACCCATTGGAACAGGTTATACTATTTTTAGGGCTCCGCAAATATATTACTACTTCTATACAAATTAGAGCCTCGATGTATTTAAGGTAATTGTCGCCACATTATTTTATAACGTATATCCAACACACCCAATAGAAAAGTGCTTTTGTAGATATTCATTTGCGCCGTACATGATTTGGGAGAAATACCATTCACTGGCTCGTAAAGCTGCGAGTTTATTTAGTTTTATCTATCAGCTATTCTACTTTCCATACTCTTTCATTCATACAAATAGATTTTGTTTCAGCCAATTAACCATGATTGCCAGTATGAGTTTCAAGCACAGTTTCGCCCAACTCACTAATAATAATACCTTGAACTTTTACGGCAGCAAGTTGTTGATGACCGGTAAACCCTACGGCTACGACTCATTACATTCTCATTGCTTCTAATGTTATATATTATATCCACCGTTCAGTGGTGGCATAAAAAAATGGTTGGCGAAGTTAGGACGGGTCAACGTTGAATATTCGGCACCTAGACCTAAAATGCGACTGGTATGTGCAGTATCGATTATTAATGACAGAGCTTGATTTAAACGCATTTTAATTCGTCAGCAAAAATTCTCATAAAATAGGGCGCAACCATCACTGAAATAAAGACTGTCTCTATCGGTACTCGAGGTAGGACACGCCCTAACAAATGGCTTTTACTCGATTGAACACCGTCTTCCGTTGCACAAAAATACGAGTTTATTCGTCGTCAGCCCTTCCATCATCCAAGCAGCAACATCCATTCTGTACGTCTTAAAACCACCAAGTGTCTTTGAAATTTCTTCTCGAACTCTGTAACAAACACCTTCATATTTTCATCAACAGTGAAAAACTACCTTCAAGCCCTCTTTTTTTATGTGGCGATTCCAATATTGAAGGGTGGCCATGCCTCAACAAGAATGTTCACTTGTGATAAGATTTTAATGATGGCGGGCAAATTCAAAAATCTCGGTCTTTTAGCGCCATTCAAGAAAAAGACAGTATAGGAATAGTTTTCTATATGTACCTTATAACGCTCAAAGGATACGGCAGCTTTAGCACGTAGACACAGATTTACGTTCTTGCGCGGGTTTTTTTGAAGAAATAGCTATTGATCGTGTACTTTTAACTATCATTATTATGCACATCTCAAAAATCAATACAAACTCGAAGCGCAAAGCTCGCATTTTGAGAGTTTACGAATTTATTTTTTCTTTAGCCTCTTTTGTCTATGTAATAGACCATATATATGTTTAGCCTACGCACAGTAACAATAGCACATACTTAGCAAAAATGAAAAAAGTCGCGACAAGGCAATGTGAGACAAGCCATGTGGCAAAACTGTTAATTATACACTAAACGTCTACAATGCTTTTGTTTGCAAGCCGCGCGTCTTCATTAAGAAATTATTTCTACTTATATTATCGTTTCGGCATAACTCAGTGACAGTTTGAACACAAAGAGATACCTATCTTTGTTATAATTTCCTCTCTTTTCTAAGAATTACCCCAAAATAATTATGAGCGTGTAAAGGACGGCACTCGATGCCATAACTAAATTTTATTTTGAAATCCGCGTACATACAATATTCTATTCGCAGTACAGGCCAAAATTCACCAGCCATCGCAGCGAGTGAGCTGAGCTCAAAGACGGCCCATCACCGCCAGACACTATCCATTTGTACACCGTCTACAGATTTCGCAGTATTTAAGTGGTGCGCAATACTTTCGGTTAATTGCTTTTCATAGCTTAACCCAGGTAGGTAGTGGCCTGTCATTCACAGCAGAAATTTTTTTCATCAGTTATACTATACTCAACTAACGGTCTTTAAGTTATCGTAAAGGAGAAACGGGTGACCGCCGAAAATGTTCCTTTACTTATATGATCCATTACGTAAATGCGCTAAAATTTTGATATAAAGTGAATGGCATATTATCACTTTCATAGGAATCTTTCTTGTTCCGTCATATTAAAAAGGTATGTCTGCTGTCCGCACAAAGACATACAGAATGCCGTTTGTTGTTAGACGGTACTTCTACGCAAAGAACGAACATCTTCTTCGAAGATGTTCGTTCTTTGCGAACCCTACGCTAGACAGCGAGTTCCCCACCGCCGAGTAACGGACGATCACCGACCGCCAGCCCCTTGTCGTTAGGGTGGCAATTGACAGCAAAGAAAATGGCCGCTTTAAGCGGCCACGTTTTCTCCAGGAATTCTCATCCTGTTACCCTATCGGGATACAGCCACGACTGCCGGATCAGTTGCGCCATCCTGGGCTGCAGCATAAAAATACACAAAAGAGCCACTTCTGCCAGTCAATGATAGATACCGTGATAATACACGAAAGAAGCCGCTTGATGGTACCATTAAACTATGCTAACATCGTATTACAACGCTGGAATCGCCTGTGCATGGCATCGGCAAAGGCTGTTGCGTAAGTCGTATCAGTTGCAGCTTAAGCATATTCTGTACGGTGGCGCTGACGTTATCGTGCGTCGGACCGCTAAACGGTCCACAAACATGCAGCACGCACACAAATATTTACACGTACACACACAGACATTCCAGCCATTTCTGTCGCTTTTCTTTCGTTGCCTTCGTCTGAACAGAGGGCTGCTGTTAAAAACAATTGCTGATAAGGCAACTGCTACAACTGCGAGCGCATCGATAATGACGACTAAGAGTGCTACTGCTGTTGCTTTCTGCTTAGCTTTAGAAGCGAGAAACGCGCGCTTAAGCTCGGCTGTTCATCTGCCTGATTTTCTATCATTGTTTCATGGCAAACCAGTCGGTCGGCCTGCCGACCAAATGTTTAACGCGAAATGCATACGTTTTTTTTTTAAATCAATTAAGTAAGGTTAAAAAGATCCAGTGGAAATGAATACGTACTACGTATTTCCACCTGTGAGATACCGAATCCAAACGAGTTGACCTCTCCAGCGTAGATAACAGCGATAAAGTTATCGCTGTCTCGCCGAACGCGAAACGACAGACCGTATTTATGCTTGCTTTTGTATACCACCGGGGATAGCGAGAATGCCGCAAGCACTACTCAGCTGTTACTTGAGTGGATTATTTTTGTCAAAGGGCAGAGACAAACAGACCAACAGTCATAGTAATAAATGCAGGCTCGTTACATGGACAGACCAAAATGTACAAACACACATACGTACGAACACAACTCTACCATAGAGCTAAGCGCGCACCTCTTCCCGATATTTCTTGGGAGCGAAGCAATAGTGTAGTCGTTACGTTGAGCTGTCATCCAATTGCTTCGTCTACCCCACAGTTGACATCGATTACTCAGTCAGTGCATTAGTAATGCTGGTCACTAGTCCACCAATTCGTGATTGAACGAATTATCCACGCTCAAACTGATAAAAGCGACGACGCAGGTCATACAAAAGACCACAGAGAAAAACGAGCAACCATTCACTAATTTACAGCTTTAGAGAGGTGCATATAAAGTAGAGACACGTCCAAAAGGTCGGATATGTTTGTCAAACCGGATTCGCGCTCAGAATCGCGTCAAATCTAGCCAAAGAACATGTTTCCTATATCAACCACATAATTGCTATTGTTACTTGACATTGTAAAAATAGTTGTTAAAAAGCAGTAGAGGTTTAACTGGCCCCACGCGGCTGTCGAAGGAACGAAAGGTGCCTACCTTTTCCACCCAGATCGTTAGGCAATCTGGTTGTAAAACGGCGAATAGTGTCCGATGATAGTCGGCGCAAATCTGGATTACCGGGCCTTCGAGAGACAAGTAACGCGGCCATCGCACCGGGAAGTACATCTTGCTTCTGTTTGTAGCCGCAGTATGGTCCGCAAAAGTAGCTGTCGTCGACTCAACGACGACGGTAATAGAATCCTAGTCATTCAGCTAATAGATCACTTGGCCGACTTGGCAACTGATCACTTAGAACACGTTCTCTATATTGACGTCGTCGTCTATCATAAATAAACGACGCTCAAATCATTTGAATTCAGGCCGTAAAGACGACATCGTATCAACTCTTTTAAGTCTTGTTCGTAGTACTCGTACTTAGAAGCATGTCGGATCGGTCGCTACCACGGATCACAATGCCAAATAAATTCTTGCAGCAGATGTACGGGTGGCGTGGCATATCTCTTAAAAAAAGTCCCCCACAAAATCTGCCCCATCCACTATTACTGTTTCTGATCAGCACCTGCAACGGGTGATCTGGAAAGGACCGAACCCGCTGTCACTATTGTATTCCCCATAAGTACAGCCACAGCATCTACCTTCGTGTCTCTGTCGTACAATAGATGTTTGACCACAGCACATCACAAAGAGAAACACTCAAGCACTTTCTGGGCCATAGTAAGGCCGCAGCTTTTGCGTTATCACTGATAGCCTGACACGATTAAACCGACAATGCATGAACTTTATGCGTGTCAACACGATGGAACAGCAAGGATAAGTCAACTTCCCTTCTTGTTTTTCACTCAAGTGAAACTAGAAGTGGTAGCAGTAATCCTATTTGATGACGACAATCACAACGATGAAAGCGTCACCATTGCAGAACGTTCCATACAACGTCACGTCAGCTCCGAACGGCGGTGAGCAGCATCAACTGATCGACTATTAGCGATGATGGCAAATAACAGCCGTTGTATTGACAACGGCATCCGCTGTTTGCAGCTGCAGTTCCTATCTTTGTACGGCAGTAGCTGGCAGTATTACTGCCCTTGCCTCTTTTGCTGCATCTATCGAAGTAGCTTGCCCACCAACTTGCAGCTGGCCCGTCCCGTTGGCGAACACCTCCAGCGAACGTCCTGATCTACACCCCACCGATGAGCAGTCATCCAACGACCCAGTGGCGGCGGCGGCGGCGGCGGCCAAGGCGGCAAGAGCAGCTGTAGCAGACCGATATCAGTTACTCACTTATTGGCGGCCCATTACCCCTATTACTGTCATCACACTCTACTGCTACATTAGGTGGCGACCGCCGTGGAAGTGGCGGCGTGTCGACTGCGCTGTAGCCCCGAACCGTCCGTTTGCTTGTGTCCGCTACGCAAGACGGCCACTCTTTTTTTTTTACAACATCAGTGGTGCACATCATCCGACCGCAGCCAAAGATACGACCGGTGTCACTAGAGACGGCCGTATTGGCTTCGCTGACGGAAAACGAAGCACTGCTAATGACGACGGCTTGTGTCGTCCCTCTATTTGCTGTGACTATCGTTGTTCTATCTGCAGGTGGCAGCCACTCACTTTCTTGTCTCTATGGCTGGCATCCCGCTGTTCGTCTGCCTGCCTCTATATCTGTCTCTATGCTACGGCGACCGCCTGTTTTAGTTCCAGTCTGTCTAGTTGGCTGGCAGAATCGTGTGTGCCGAATTCGACTGCATTTGTGTTGTCGGCTGTCTGCTCCAGTCGTCTGCTGTTGTATTTTTTCTCGTCTCTCGACAGCAACGAGTGCCTAGGTATAGTAAATCAATTAAAGAAATGTAATTTAGCGGGGTAGTTTTTAGTCTGGAGATTCTTCTTGTGTAGGAATAATTGCTGATATAAGAACATAATAGCAATATATCACTCCACAACGTTGTATTAGGCACAAAAAGCAGATATAGATTGACGTCGAGCTGGCGGGCCAGTTTAAATTAACAAGCGATTCGCCTCATTGCTACACCGAACAAATACGAGTGAGATAAGCGGCAATCATTTATCTATCGATTGCATCCATAAAGCACAGTAAAAGTATGCTACAGACAAGTGGTAAACGATAATGCTTGAAAATACTAAGTTTTCGGTACATTCCGATTGAGTTAAGCTACTTATTTGTAAATATTTTGCAGAGGTCGCCATTTCTTCTGAGTTGTAAACAAATGTTTGGGCATCGGTTGACGTAGCAGGCGGCCTATTAGAAGACGGCTCATAACAGAAAGCCTAAAGCGCTAATTGAACGATTCCACATTGTTTGCGTATAGAGGAAACGTATTCTTTGTCCCGTTTGCAGCGAGTCTGCTTAACGAGTGTATCACTTTGCCCAATCACTTTGACGTAGACTTGGCTGGTGCGGTGATTATTGTAGTGAATCTAATTAAGCGATGAGTGGGAAAATTCGGAAAAGTAAAGAAAAAAATGGCGAAATCGTCGCATTTAGCGAATCAGCAATGCGTCATAATGGAGCGGTCCTCGAATATATTCGAACATCTGTTTCTGTATTGGTGAGTATTTTAATTAGAATGATTTATATGCACGAAAATTCATGGAGATATATTATGCTGGTCGATGTCAAACGATCAGCCGATATTGACGATTCTATTGTTGGTTGGCATTATGAAGGCGAGAATCAACAGCAGCTATCAACTAAATAGAAAACTGAGTCGAGAAAAAGACATGGCGCTCTAGGCCGGGCCGCAGATGAAAGCAAAGGACAATAACAAGCTTAGACGGCTCAGGTAGTTTATTCGTTTCAGATTGTTGAAAAAAGTTATACATTATTCTAGTAGCTGGGATGGAACCACATCAGATCGATAAAAGGTTGCTTACTTAGGATGCTTCTGTTGCACTTCAATGGTCTGATTAGTTTTTTATGCTTAAGTGGGTACTCGACATAAATCCCACTAATCCATTTGAAGTTATTTCTATGCTACGAATACATATTTTCTTTTAGTTATTAGCGCATATATACGCCAACGCACAATGTCTGTGAGAAATTTTATTAGAAAAATTGTCTATTGTTCACGTTAATCTAGTAAATTTGTACCCGACTGACGCATATAGTTATGGAAGGCATGTAGTCAGCAAGCTCAGCAATAATTATTCCCAATTACAAGTGTAGTTGCCATTTTCTACAATGGAGTTTACATAAAGCGCAAATTGCATCCTACATTGTTTTGGTTTTTCAGAGTGGCTGTTCGGCTGGGATAATGGGTCTTACCTCGTTGTACGGCTTTCTATTTTACTTCGTTGTAGCTGTTGTTCTCTGGGCGATGCTTGTCGTCAGTACGTTGACTACATGGGAGACGTTCCTGCGCTCGCGTGCTACTTTCTTCACGCACGGTCTTTTCAATGGCCTCTTCACGTACATTCTGTTCTGGACATTTAGTTATGGCATGGTCCACGTATACTAATGAGGTTAGACCGCTACGTACCGTGTATAAACGATCATTGGCTGTTGTTCGTGGATATCGCTCCGTTGCATTTAAGCAGCTCATCGCTACCACAATATTACACGTGGATAAACTCGGCGTGTCTTACCTTAGTCGTTTTCGAGTCATAACGCCCTCCTTCAGATGTTTATCACACGGACAAGGCGTATCGTCACAGATCGATATTGTTTATATATATATAAACAAGAGAAGCAACTGGTATGAACTGCGTGTCCCAGAGACACATATCCTCTGGTTCTGCGTTACTGACCCACACTCGATAATCTCGAATTGGCGGTTTTCGGTGAGGGGAGACCAATCATTCACTCAGGTTTATTAACAAAGACGACTATATATATATATATATATATATATATATATATATATCTATAACCGTCTATATATATATATATATATATATATAGATGGAATTGTAATAAAAATATGAATTTATATAATTCCAAAGTGAGCGCTATCTGAGCGTTTTCCTTAGCTGCAGCGTTATTTCTTTTGTGAACCCCTTAATTTTCGGTGCCTCTATTATAACTTTAAAATAGTATTTTTCGATGCCAATAAATAATCTGTTATTTACATACAAGCTTTTTGTCTTTCGTCACTTGAATAGCTATATTATCACAGTAATAACAACTATCAGTGACCTTCCTCATTTAATTATACACGGGGCTATCAAAGGGAACAAGACACATTAAATTGAAGATACAATATGTGGAAAAAAAGGCTCAATTTTTCCAGATCGATTTATTACATTTAATGTAATTTTTTATTTTATTTTGTTTAATAAAATCGATATAGATTATGCGGCTTTGACAACCGTTGCAAATGGGCTGATAGGCACATTGCATTTCAAATATTTCCTGCAGATCAGCGACATTTTGTCGGGTACATGGGTCCAGTATGCTACGTCGCCTGCTGATCAAATCAGCAAGAGCTGGCTAAAGTTTCCATAAAGTGAAACTTATATATACACATACGAGTCGAAGTGAATTGCCTTCGTCAGGTTAGGAACGTAACATCTAACCTGATGAATAAATCGATATATAGTACCTTTAAACTTCCAATTCTTCTGCACACTGGTAAACCAACAATTCAAGTATATACTGTGCTTTTAACAGTGAACTGACCGGGAAGAGCAAACGATGAAGATATCATACGGATTGCCAGCAGTGATCGTTGCTATTGCTATGTTCATTCTGATTCAACTCCGACTAAAATATATGGCCGCCTCTGTTATTTTGTAACGGCTAAAACCTGTTCTAGCGCAAATACTCTTACAACGGACAATAAGATCTGTTAAACAAATCCTGATTATAGGCCACATTTAATATGAAATGTAAATAACTTGACACTACAAGACTGCCATTTCAATAATATTTTCTGCGCATCTATGTATCAATATCTGTCTATGCTGCAAGTTATGATATTACAGGAAACATTGAATAAACAGCATTGAAGCATAGATATACCAGTAAACAGAAAAAAACATTCAGCCCATGCCTACTAATTGCTGGCGACAATTTTAGCGTTTATCAACGTTTCAGTAATAAAAGCTGATATGAGCACCGACAAAGAAGCGAAAATTCTAGGTGTCGTTTTGTTTCTATAGAAAAATAAAAAGAAAGTGAATCTGCCTTTGCTAGCAAAAAGCTTCGGCAGGGCCATGGCAAACTCGGTTAACTTTAGATAATTCAGTAAGATCGTCTAAGAAATGGGTCGTTCACTCAGCCGTCGACGCTGGCGGATATGCATATTATATAATTAATCATCATATTTTCAGATGGCACATAGCTTGTTGTACTCGCGAATAAGACTATCCCAATTTTATTATATTGCCCAATTTTCAATACAAGAGATTTTTTTGCAAAAAGAAAACTTATATGCAGCTCAATCATAGCTTCTATAAACTTACATTTAGTTTACCTAGCTTACATTTTTTTGAATGAGACTAAGGTTAAAGAGCTTTTTGGCCAATTGGGACGCACAACGGGCGATCCGAACCATAAATCAATTTAAAACACGATATACATAATCTCTGCATTTAATTAGATAGCAAACCAGATACCTTGTACTTAGGTGGGCCAGTTTCATTTTTACAAGTTCGCAACAGCGTCGTGTAGCATCTGTGACGTACACCTTACGGCCGTACTTTCTATACGCAACGTAAATCGGGCAAAAGGCGACGGCTCTTGCCTACTCGCTTGAAATAATGCGGCCTCCCGTTAACACCGTAAACGGCGCGCTTGCAAGTCATCGATGTACGTACGCCTACCGGCATCTTTTGTTGTGGCTTACATGCGCTGCCAACTGTTTGTATGTAGGTCAGTTTTTGACTATGCAATAGCCGAGGCTCGCTACCTGTTGAACACGTGCTACAAAAAAATACTGGGATAGCCTCCTTATGATGAATGCCTCAAGTCATTACTTTAATCATTACAGAGACGACCCTGAGGATCTTACTTCGCAAAAAAGGATGCAGGATCGATTATTCATCGTATCATTTTGGTACTATTCTTTGTTAACGGACTAACTGACCGTACAAATACTTGAACGTACCTGCACGTCAGTCAACGTAGAAAGCTGAGATAGAGCAAGCATTAATACTTAATATAGAAAACATAATGCCGGAACAACGCAGCAGTAAATCAGCTGTGAATCTGATAGAATTTTATCAACCCGTTGAAGATATCCTACTGAATCAAGTGGCGGTTTCGAAGCTAAAAGAATTGATACTTCAACGGATCCCCATGATAATTACGGAGAAAATTTGTTTTGCCGTCCGCAGATCAATCGCAAGCATCTGGTAACTTCAAGCGGAAGATATCCAAGCGATGGTTGAAAAGTTTTGCAGAAGCTAGACATTTAGCCCTTCTCAGGAAGGTCGAATCTGCGAAAATTATCTCTAACCGGCACTCTGCGGATGGCTAATGTATACAAACATGCGGATCACTCGCAGCCAATAACCTTCTTGATATACTAGGTCTGAGGGATAACGTCAAAGAGATTGGAATGGCTTTAATACGGGCAAACGGTGACTCAACAAAGCAGACCTTACTTGATATTTTTCTACCTCCTCTGAGGATACTTGTGGGCCATACCTTTTTTGTTGAAGCTATTGTTGAATGAACCTAAGTTAACGACGAATACGCACACTTGGTCCATGGAAGTCTCGCGTGCCTAGGGTCATCAACTTCGTGATGTTATCGTAAATCAGCGAATCACCTCATTATGTTTCTAGGTACGCTGTGTGGTACAGGATACATATTATGGTAACTGACATTGAAGCATATATTGGATATATACGTTTTCACCACCAACTATTGGGACTTAAAATTAAAAAAAAAAAAAAACTATTTTTTCCCTTTCGGTAAAAAAAACCGTATAATAATATGTAAATATTGTTTTATGGAGATGTCTTACTGCTGGTAATCTAATGTGGGAATTTAATATAGTCATACTGAAGTCGAATGAAGTAGATTCTTGTAATCAGCGAACAGTCACAAATTTTGTTGATGAGCGACGCAGTCGCATCGAAGCCTTACCATCGAAGACATACCATATCGGGATTATAATGCAAAATTACGCGCGTACGTCCGCATAAGTTGTGCCACCATATATAGGACGAAGGATCTAGATCAAGGAATTATATAGTATAGCTTTATTATAAGATGTTAAGAGTCTATCAGTTTTTGTGGTTTCAGGCAACCCCCTATCACAAATTTGTAAGTGTGATGCATAAAGTTTATACAGTACAAAAATTTGATAGAAACATATGAAAACAAGTTAATTTCAGAAAGGGTATCGATTTTTATTATTTCACGTATTTATCTCCTCGATGATACGTTTTTTTCGTATTTGTCACTTTTATTGGAAGTCTCACGAAACCTGTGCACAGAAAGCAAACAGCAGAATGCTAGAAACTAGCATCTAATCAAATAATTAATATTATTAAATATTAATAAAATCAGATGTGCCACCATTACGCCCAGTTACCACTAACAGCCCAAATATATTGTTTATTATGATTTTTTCAGGGATTAACGGCTAAATGCATTATAATTTGTTCTTACCAGTCGGCGACTACATGAAGCAATCAGAGACTCTAATTAGAGAGTCCAAACTATAAATTAGATAAGTGTAATAAGAAATTTGCCAAGAGATTTACAACAGTTCTTCCAAACAATCTGACACACGCACCTGATTTTAGTGGTACAATGGGATAACACCTATTACACCTTCTTGAGACAATATCCGAGCTCTTTGATAAGCGCTTGTCTCTCCGCCACCGTAAAGTCATCTGCAACGTTAAATTTCATCCGAAGTCCTTCAGGCGATGCGTCAAGAGTCTTGGCAAACGCCTCAGAGGCTAATTCAACGAGGTCGTTTATTCTCAGATGATGAGCTGCCTTTAAAAGTCTCAGTGCCACGGGCGAGTAAAGTTGATTAAATCAAGTGCAAACGAAATACTTTCTTCATTACATACTAATTTAGTAAATGTGTTGCGTGTCTTCCGTTTTTTTGTAGCTTTGCCCCAAATTTATATCATACAATAATTTTATTTTTGCTTACCATTATAAGTTCGTGGAGCAAATCGCCCGCTGCCACCTCTGAGATGAACCAATAATCCCAGTTGTCTCGGGGTAGCTTCCCATCGGGCCTAGACTTCTGAGAACGATGATGTTCTAACCATTCTCTAATCTGAGAAACATATATGAAGAGGGAACACCTTATATTGTGCATTTGCTTGAATGAACCGGTCATAGCCCTGGCTAAATTTAAAAAGGAAAACCATACTTACATGAAACACAAGGTTGATTATTAGAAGCCTATGAAAACCATAACCGTAATAGCAATGCATCAAATAAAAGAAAATCTTTCTCCTAGATAGCGAACGACGGGGGCAGGGGCGGATGGAAATTTACAATAACCAGGAATTAGCTTTTTTTTCGGCTTACTAATGCAAGAGTTGTCGCGTCTACGCTTTTCAATTGTAGAGGTCGGTCGGATGGCATACAGATCATGCGGGACAGGACTGGCGATAGTTTTGCAAGCTCTTCATCTACAAAGAATCTAGTTTGTGCAGTTAATCGCCTTTCATTGCTAGTCAGCGAAAACTTCCTGGATTCCATTCGGCTTTGTCGATGTCCTGTTTTTGGATACTATACAAGGCCGTAACTAGGAGTTAGTTTTCAAATAATAAAAACCTAAATAGTGCTCTTGTCACAATGGCTCGAGAAAGAGTCGCTCTTCGCGCGCATCTAACCATCGCTGGTTTCAGCCCGGATAAACAATACGCTAAATAAGCTATTTTTGAGTATAGAGGGGGCGCACCAAACTGTCCTGTAGGGAGCTATAATTTCTTTAAGCATAATACCAGCTATTTTAAGCTATACCAGTTCGTTACTTGTTTGCCGACAGCCAACAAGTATCTTTTATAGTTAAAACTTAGCGTTGGGCGCGGGGTATTGTATTGATCAGAGAGTCTACTTAATAAAAATGCAGGTCTAACTTGTTTGCATTCTTGATTGCACACCAGCTTATCTCCGTTAGGCATGACATTTTCCCCGCCTAATTGGAAATATTAATTTCCAATTCCAAAAAATCCAAAAAAAAAAATAAATCCCATTAAAGATTTTAGCATAACGCTTAATTAGCAAAAAATTCGCGAAAAATAATCCCTTGTGTGAGCCGCGGTACGCAACCACAATCGTAGAACACAGTCTCTCGCCTAGACGACTCCTGAACTGAATACATAATTGAAAGTTGAACGCATCGAAACAGATATCGAAGCCTGCCCTTTTACTGCAGAGCTAGTATCTTCGGACGAGATTCACTCCGCTTAACCACCGAGCATTCAGGCTGTACAAGCTGATCAGAGTAATCATAAAACATACTATGCCAAAATTGTACTACGTGTTCCAGCCGAGTTGTAGTAGCACTTGAAAATTCTACAGATGACAGGCTATGTAGTGAAGCAACTTCATTATCGATGAAGTGAAATAAGGTAGCGGTGGCCAGTTTCTTCGGGCGAATGCGTGTCAATCGCATCGACGTTGTACGTATTGCACATTTTTTCTGCAGGTTTATCACAGGTTATATGCATTTTGTAACTAAAAAAACACTACGTTAATGTCATCACGGTCGGTCGAAATATTTTTGTCAAACCTACATTAGAAACGTGATACGAAAGCGTGATTTTTTAGCTGAATATCTTCTCCGGTGGAAAATATAGATCGCTTGACGAGTTAGTGGTAGAACCGAAGAAAACTAGATGTACTTATAGAATTCTTGGAGACATAATAATTTAATTATACTTAAGAAATGCAACCGAAATGCCAGTTTCGCGCTGGCTGCTAGCTCTCTGCTTGAAAATGTCAAAGTTAACTGTGGCACGTCAATCGATAAAGACCGTGCGAGCAAGACCAGATAGCCTTTATTTTACACAGAAAAGAGTGAAAATCAGCATCGAGAAATAGCACAAATAGCTATGAGCTGTGCAAAATTGAACATCTTTACGTATCGGTGTATTGTCCATGTATGCCACGATCAAATGTCCCTATGTCAACAAGTTACGACTCAGCGACTGTGCAATGCCATACGATTGCTTGTTTAGTGCGACCGAAGAAACCAGTTTTGACGTACGTCTGCTACTGGTGTCTATATATGAACACCTTAGAAATGAGCGACGGCTATAAATGGTTTAGTAATAGATCCTTGCACCCTTTTGTTGCGTTTTGGGCACTTGCCGACAAGAGCTATTCTATCGTTCAGTAATAACGAGTAGTCTCTTACGCGGCATACGACATCTTGTATCGACTAAATCGCTGTAACCCTCCCGGAACTTACGACCTTGTCCCAAAAAGATTGTTCGGCATACGTTAGGATTAAACCCTATTCGCCTATAGGGATGAGGGTTCTATAACAAACGGTAAATTGCTAGTTAGCGGCTCACAATGTGTATTCGATAGCCCAATGGAATATGGAAACGTAAAATGGAAAACGGTAAACAAATCAGTTCCTTTAACTGATTTGCCATGTTCGCAAAGACTATCGCCAAACAGTGGCAGCAGCTCGTCAAGACGATTTCCCTATGGAGCAGAGTTGATCAGCCTTGGTAAACCACATACATGTAAGGGTTCAAATCATAGCTCATTAACTGTCGAGACTTCACTAAAGGCAACTTGAACGTTAACTTTCAAAGTTTGTCTTACACCAACGCAGTATCCGATTAGTGAAACGCGGCACTATTGAATAGCATGTAATCTTAGTCCGTTTCTACTGTCACTATATGCCTTGTTGAATTGGACGCTCTCGTAGATGCACTTCATCATGGCGAGAACGGATAATAGTCAGCTATGCATTCGACTACCTGCAAATAACTGTCTGCTCTAAATTACAGCGGGCCGTGCTGCACGATCGAACACGTTCGCCTGAGATTGCGTACAAACGCTTAGTCTTCGCACGTCCGTCTAAGCAGTGCCCATCGGCACATGATACCACTACCCGTTTAACTTACCACTACATAGGGCGCAAGTTGTTAATTCGATCAGTCACATATAGTGAAGCCATCCATGGCTATCGTGCTAGTTCAGATGTTGCCCACTGGGTAACGTACTCGTATCGACGGAGCTCAGCTGAGAGTTACCCAAACCGTTAGGTCTATGCTGCTCGTTCTACTGTCGCCAGCCATAACGGAATTCCCTTATGACAACATTTATCCGATGATTCGTGAACTTTTGACAACGAAATGTGTAAAGAGCAGCGCTGTGTCTCTACGTGCTGTCGGCAATCCATGTGATTGGTGTCATGTATGAAAGTTTTGAAGCAGCAGGTGACGGCCTGTCTGACGTTTGACGACAGGAGGCGTAAGACGTAGGATGCGGCCAGGCGTCACCACTTTGACCTACTTCCTGTTGCGTTGGTGTAAAAGCTGTTGAATGTCTTGATATACTGAGAAAGGGGCATGAGTCACACGATGAGCTTATCCTGATCGTGTAAAGTAAAAAAAAAGCACTGCTAAAATGCCTAAATTAAATTGTTCCAAAACAGGTGACGCTGAAACGCCATCTTTTAATAGCAGCGACAGCGCTACTCATCAGGGTTGCGAAAATACTCTTCAAAGAGAGTTTCGTTTTCCTTCACCAGGTGGAGCTGCTCGTCAACTCACAAAAATAAGGGAACACTTTTGTGATCGCAGTATTCTGCCGCCGGACGGAAAATTTGTGAGTAATCCGATTCAAACGGTGGCCCTCGCGGCACCAAGAGCTCAGTCTTCGCCATCGATTCAGCGAATGTCCGAATTTTACCCGCATAATGTTTTTTTGGTCGAATTTGATGGAGCGCAAAAATCGAAACGAGTTTTAGCCATTCAGAGCGGGTCAATCACGTCGACGTTTTACGAGAACAGTGCCACCCAATCGACTGCTATCGTTAATCACCTACAGGCTGTGCAGGCAGAACAGTTTGAATTGTTACATCCACAGCAACGTCACTTCAATCCTAAACGGAAGGATCAAGGCCAATGCTGCGAATTCGAAATAAACATAAACATTAATCATAAGAGCGTTATTCCCGGCCAGAATCAGTTAGGAGGCCTAGCGTCAGCACACCATAGCAGCCAGTGCGTTCAACTCAAGCGGAACAGCAAAATCACCAACAATATCCTTGAAGTCAATAATATTTTTAAGAAAATTTTCGCATCCGCGGACATTGTCCCGTCACATACTCCCGTACCAAGCGTCTCTGAAACTTCTGTTTCGACCGAAACTCCAGCACAGCTTTTCAGCATTTATAATTCGTCTACAGTACAGCTGAAACGCGCAATTAACTCAAACTTTGAGAGCGTTATAGCATCGCGCTCCAAGAAACGGAAACCTGAAAAATTTCAGGGACCTGCCAAACCATCAACATCATTTTGCGACATGCAGAACACCCCTCGGCATGTTCTATTGGACAAATCGATAACGCAAATAGATAGCGTTAATCTTGATCCGTTGGTGTTTATGAGCTCGTGTATCGATGTCATAGATTTTCCACTTGAAGGTGAATTTAACGGCTACATTTTAAAGCAGGTATCCGGTTCCTCGCTGAAACAGTTTTTCATAAACAATCTATTGTCAGTACTGCTAAAATTTACGAGTATTGATTACGCGAGCGCTATCGAACAGTTCATCTCATCTACTACCGAGTGGAGATTTAGACTCGGAGGCTTCTACGTACTTGGACTTGAGCGATGTCGTGTCCAACAGGTTAATATGGCTTTATTGGGATCAGTAAAAATCATGGACCCTGTAACACAATTAGAAAAAGAGGGATATGATATCTGCTGTCCATTTTGTCTTATCTGGAACATAGAAAACGATATTAAGCCTATCTTTGATCTGATGTTTTATCGTGAGCTGATGGAAACTCATTGTCGTTTAAACCATAGCGAAATTTACTTGAGGTTTGGTATAGCTACGAATATCCCTACACAATTCGTAATAGCAGAACAGCTGCGGGTTTTACGAGAGTTCAAAGAGGTAAAAAAAATTATGAAGGAAAGTAGACAATTAAGATAGTACCACAGATGGTTATCGCTAGCTAACACACGTATAATATGAACGTATTGAATCTTATCAGGAAAAATATCACCATGAAGGTTTTCAGTTCAACCGTTAATAATAAACGAAGTAATAGTCGTTTAACCATAGGGAGCAGAGGGTGTATACCAAGCTCTCGTTGTATTGACGATCATCTACATTGTTATAATCATGTTTTACATTATCCAGAGCGGCACGTGGCCAAGTTTTGCGCGAGCTGATTTTTGCATGAATAGTATACAGTTCTGTACGGTTACATTTGTTTTTGTATATAAGTACGTGTCCAATGCGAACCATTCGAGGCGTTCATCGTATATCCTGTAAAATTATTGCGTTTGTTGGCCTTTCGAAATTAACGCGGATTCAAACGACTAGCAAGGTAATGTTGTGAAATGAATATTGGGATAGGAAGCGGAACAATAAATAATTTGATCATAAAGTGTCTTTTGACGAAATTCTCTATTTTCTAAGATACCTCGTCGTTATCGCCAGTGCAAGTGTATATTACTAGTTATGTGAGAACAGAGATTCTCGGGAACATCATTTCAAAAGTTTTTTTCGTTGATAGAATATATTTTTCTTTTAATTTTTAAATATCTAAGCCAGGTTAGGTTAATCAAAAAGTCGGATTACTTCTAAGTTAAGCGACGCTCAAAGTTTCCCATGCTATAGTACTATGGATAATGAAGTGCCTTTTTCCAGATATAATTATTATTTACAAGCCGATCACCGCGTGATCATAACTGAATATTTTGATGACTTTAAAACGTTTTGATTGCCGGACTTTAATAGGTCCTGCAATACAGCGTGGTATGATCTACACTATGTCATAACAACCATGAAAAAGAAAATGCTTTGTCGTTTGGGAGTAGTCTGACGTAACAAAGAAACCCATTTTTTAACGACCTCACCCCAGTTTTATCGAGTCAAGTATTGTTGAGATAAGACATAAATTACTGCGTCTCTTTAATAGGTTTCGTCTTGTATTCCTCCTGCTTAATTTTGTTTACGTTGTGGTTTTTGGTAACCGAAGCTCCGTAGCAATCCTAACGAGTTCTGGCGGAATTATTTTGATTCGTTTATGTCGGAAGATGATCTCAAGAGGTATTTCCGATCTGGCCAAAAATATAAGTCTGCAACGCCATTCTGCTCGCAGTGAATTTCAGTATTAATCCTCATTTTGTAGTCTTCATACAGGAGGGCTCAGCTCCAAATATTTGCAGTCGGCTCTGACGGATTCTTTGGAATGCTTTGTTGTTCGGAACGTAAACGGAAATCGAGGAAGTCAGCAGTAGTAGAATTTTTGCACTGATCACTTACAAAAGCAATACATTTATATCTCTTCGTCTAGAAGACCAAAAAACTTCGATTATTTGTCTGTATTACTATGTCCTTCCTCTAATTCATCGTAACAGTATATTTTGCCGCCCAACTACCCATGACTTCTATGGAGCGCTCTGCCAATAGGTAAATCTACTAGATGTAGTTTGGACAATACTCAGAACAGGTAAACTTCCGCCGTAATAATGTATATCATTATAAACTAATATGTTTGTTCCTTTTGTTTTAAATTTATTTATATTTTATTTTAAATTGACCGAATACATTAACGAATTGGGAATGGTTATGGGTGAGATCAAGGTGTACTCGTTAGTTGACCAAAGTGCTTTATAACAGCAACTACATTAGCGATTTCTTCTACCTTCATCTACGCTCAAACGTATAATAACTGGATGTTTACGGCTGATAACCAGTTAATGCAGCGATATGAACTTATGAGACGCTTGAAATGATTATAGCTTTAATTTGACTCTAATTGGAGAAAAACTATAACTTTGAAACCAGAAGAATAGGTCAATCCGTTGTCTGTCAATATCGCAACGGCTAGAGTTCGAATGTGCGGCGTGTCGGAAATCTTCGAAGGTTTACTTATGTGGGCAGAGGATCGATGCTAAGCAGATCACATGGTTTTGCTATTGGCTGCTACTCGATCTGCAGAGCCTCGTAACCTTCGGTTTTTAAACCTCGTTGAACATTACTTAACGTTGCTTGTTATGTAACGTCAAATCATATCAATTATTTTAACCAGATTTTCGCCCCATCTAGGCATTTTTTAGTATTTTCCAACGTCTGACTTTTATTAAATTTGATTATGGGTGCAATAGTAAGCGAATCGGTATGATAGGAAAAATATGATGTCTGCTTTATCTGTTCTAAGTATCATCCGAGCAGGCCGACATTTTTAAACGTCTTCAAATAAATATGAAAAATGATCCAGTTCTCTTTACCACTATGGAATAGTAGGATTACCCTAAAACATTAGCCTATAATTAATATTTTTCTGTAATATCTATCATCTGTGTCAATATCATCTATCAAACGGGACGAGACTTGAATTGTCTTCCCAAATTCACACCTCTCAAAGGACGGTCGTACTGATTTTCAACGAGTACAACATATTAACATCTAATCATACGCATCGGTGCTATAAACGTCGACCGTTGCCTTAAATCTCACCAGTCTTATACATATATATCTCCGCGTCAATTGCAAACGTTCCGGCATCACCGTAATTAACATAGGTATTATGTTGCCAGACCTTCAGAATCATCCTCCGAGTTCCCAAAAGCGCACCTGCCTATCTACCAATCCTTCTGGTTTCCTGCATTATAAAACTAGCTATATATATATATATATATGTATCCATAGCTCACACGCCCTTACTTCATTCAGGTGTTTTCCTCTGTCTGTTTCATAGATATTATACCTAGAGAGTGAGACAGCTGCACGTTCCGAACACTTCCTAGGCGGGCTACAGTAAACAATGTGAAGCATTTGGCTTACGTCGATTTCAGTAGTGCACATCTATTGATGATGAGCAACTTTGCACATGGCTTATGGACACACAGGGTCTCTGTTGGTTCAAATAGGAACAGCATTGTATGTCCTCTATCGGCTTATGGAATTGCTAGGTCCGAGATTCTGCTTGCGCATGCTAACGGAGTGTGGCGCAATAGCATACAAGGAAAAACCCGCGTCAGCTCGTTACGGCTGACGGTGTCGCTATACAAACGGAAACAACGGAAAATTTTCAGTTAGTGTAGCATTTGTGCGCTGTATTGTAAGCTCCTCGAGTAAATGATGATCGGATACAATGGTATATCTTGGACTGATGCGTGTAAGCGATACCGTTGATACCATAACATGGGTAAAAGCTAGACGCTAACTGGCCTGATCCAAGTGCAATTGAATTTGACGTAACAAACTGAGACACGTGACTTAGTAAAGGTACATGCGAATGTAGGTGATTGATTGGTTTAAAATACCCAAAGCGTTTTTGCTTTTGGGACAAATTACAGTTAAGTGTTGTGATGTTTTGAACTGCGATCCAGGTATCGGATTGTGAACAGATCTCTAAACTTCCAATCTTGAACGTATAGCGTTTGAGATGTCCATGTCAAATCGTCCTACTACCGGTCACGCTATACCACCAGCGTATGGAAAACATCTTCGTAATAATATCAATGCTATAGAGGAGTTTGGTCAGATTCTCCGTCAAAGAGACCTTGGCCATTTTCAACTCGCTGGACTTAATTGGCAACCTATAAACATGCAGCAACAGGTTGCTCCTGGCGAGCTTATACAGGATAAAGAAGGTCGGAGAAAACAATTGCAGGAGGCCCTCCTTTCCGTGTTTAGAGCTCAGTCATCTTCGATTCAGCCTACATTAGAATCTTACTCCGACTATGGTACTATTGTTAATAGTTGTAAGACAAAAAAAACCGGACAAGCGCTACCAATTCAGAGCGGGTCTGTGGCGACCGCTTCTTTCAACATGGGCTCTGTCCAGTCACCACTTGCTATTAAGAACAAACCAGAAGCACAAAAGCATGATGATAATTACATATTCCCAGATATCATAGATCTCTCTCAGAAAAAGCTACCGCGACACTCTGAATCAGACAACTTTACGATTTCGTCTACGGATCCATTGCAAACTCCATGCTGGTCTGCAGGGCAACGGCTCGCGTCAGATAATGAAATGACTGATGAAACGGAATGCCATAATAAACACATAATGCACACAAAATATAATACATTGGATACGGTCATAGAGAAAAAGCAACTTTTCAGTTTCACTCATCAAACATCTGAGAAATCTCAGCAAACTTCTCTGCAGGCCACCGATTTGGCCAAGTCCGGCCGGTTAGAGGACCCTGCATATCCTCTGCCAGGAATATGGCGTACCCATGACTATACTAAACGCCTGCAGCAGTTTCACTCTCAAAGCAATAGTGCCAGCAAAATTAACGTTGGAGTTAAGCCTTGTAACGTCATTGAGCTTACGAACGTTAGAAGATATCCTCTGTCTACCCCAACTAAGTTTTCATCGGCTTCGTTCAATTCGATCGGAGGTCAACTGCAACTTCTTGGTAATGCTTCACAGCTTCCTTACGCGCAACAGCAGACAGCTGGACAACCAAAACAACTTCTGGTAACTGCAAGTGGCTGTCAGTATACAACAGCTTTGGCAGAGTCGAATCAGGCAGACCTTCCAGTTTATTCTACGTCGAGAATGTGGCCAACTTCCTACAGTGGCCCACATGAAGGCCAACTTTGTCCTCAACAAGCAACGAAACAAAAGACGTCACATGAAACGAACTCCCATAAAGTATACGATCTAGCTATAGGTGATGTTTATAACTGTAATGTAATTCAAGGAAGAAATAATTTAAACTCTAAAACGAATAATATCACTACGAATCCATCATTGTTCATTAATCCATGCCTTCGTGTCACGGATTTTCCGCTTGAGAACGAAGCGGTTGGCCACATTCTAACGCCAGTCCCAGGTTCGTCCCGAAGGAAGTTTTTGATTGAGAATGTGTTCACAACGCTGTTTGAAAAAGCAAACCCAAATACAGCAGAGGCCTCCAAAAGGTTCATCTCATCTACCCATGAATCGGATTTGACGATTGGAGGCATATACGCACTAGGTCTGTGGCGGTCCGGCACTCCACAGGTCAATATGGCCTTGGTGACGCCAACCAAAATAGCGAATTTTGACAAGACAGCATATGTCATGTGCTGTCCTCTTTGCCTTGTGGGATGGAGACCTAAACACTGTACAAAACCCATTTTTGACCTGAAATCGTGTCTTGGACAAATGGTAATCCACCGTCGGCATGTGCATAAAGCGATTTTCGAAACGTTTTCAAACAAAACGCACGTCCCTACCGATGTTATTATAGCGGAAATGCTTCGTGTCCTCGAAGAGTCTTCGAAAGCTGTAGAGGCAGTTGTTAAAAGGAAGCATCGTTAAAGTCGGGACGGTGTCAGAAGAAAGAGTATCAAGGGTACCAACGAAAACGCTGAAATAACACTTCATGGTATCATTGTTTGACTTCTGACCGAACGG